GCGCGAGCTTGCAAGTACCAGGTCCTGCCTGGCTGGTGGTCGAAAAAGAAGGAGCTGGGCCCACTGGGCGGCGCCCCTTCAAACTTGCGGAAGGCAGAGTGGGCAATCACCTGCTTGTTCAGGATGCGAAGCTCTACGCCGTCCGGGATCATGCCACTCATCACGCCATCCGGCCAAGCGCAGGCAAGCAGCTGCTCATTCTGCCGCTCTGGTGTCATGGATGGCAGAGCCATGCCCACTGGCAACTTCAGCGTGGGGACCTTCCAGAAGCCAGCTTGGCAAAAGAGCTGCTTGACGCCCTCGCAGATGTCCTTGGTGTGGTCCAGGAAAGGGTACCTTACAGTCAGGAATGGTGAGGCGACAGACAAGCGAACAAAGACACAGACAAGCTAGCTAACAAACCAATCAGCAAACAAGGATATGCAAAGAACAAGCGCGCAAACAAACCATGCAAAGCAGCAGAAGGCGCAAGACAGCAGGCAAGCAAACACTACAACAACACAAACGGCGCTAGGTATCAGCAAATTCACAGCAGGACCAGCAGAGAAGTGAACAGCCAGACAGCTTACCCCAGCCCAGCCAACACCAAACTGCCCAAGCAACTGAGTCTCCGTGTGGCTGAAAATTGCGCAGTTGCTGGCTAGCCAGGCCATGAGCCAAAAAGCAGGGAAAGCAACAGGTGGGACCCGCAGCAGAGACAGAGAGAGAGAGAGAGCGAAATGAAGAGATAAGGCAAGATAAGTTGAAGACAAGAAAGAGGGTGAGAATGGAGAAGAACAGAGGCGAGAGAAAGCGAAAGAGAAGCAACGCCAGAAAGTCAAGAACATGTGAAACATAACAATTTTAACAAAACAGAACAAGAAAACGAGAGCATAGGCACATGTGCAATGGACACAATAACAAAAATAGATAAGTATGAGACAAAGCGCTCAACAAACATGAAAAGAAAGGGGTATTTACTTGTACGTGTGTACATACCTCTCTGCCCCCGTGCCTGTATAGATACACATATGTTTACATTGAGCTATATATGCATACACGCACAAGTAAATACCCCTTTCTTTTCACGTGTTTGCTTTTTCTCACACTTATCGATTTCTTTTTTTACCTTGTTTCCATTGCATATTTGCCGATGTTCTCGTTTTCTTGTGTTTTTTAAACTAGTATGGTTTGGTTTTTGAAGCAACACAACTCCAACCACAGCGAGAGCAACTCATGGAAGCTTATTAATTATGGTTGTGAAAGCAGTTTTTGCTATTGGCTACTGCACTTTGGTTTTACCGGCAAGTGGTTGAGCCAGGGCACTCGCAGTACTGCAAGCTGGGGACCCTCGCCATGAGAAAGGGCGGCTGGTCCTCGGCGTAAACGTGGAAGTAGAGCTCGTGGCCCATCATGCGGGCCCAGCCAAGGAGGGGACCGTGCGGCACGATGCCTTGCTTGGTGTAGTGGACCCAGGTTTTGATGACCTGGATGTCGTAGAGCGACTGCTCCGACAGCCGCGCCTCACTGCCTTGCAGGCGCTGGAGCTGCTCTCCGAGCTCGCGCACCAAACGGCTGGCCTCCTTGTCAAAGGTGACAGGCGGCCAGAGACTGTCTGGATGGTAGTTCTGCAGCCGGGCACTGTAAAAGATCTTCACGTACGCCAGATCTTTCTGAACGTTGCCCTGCGCGTTCCATCCAGGAAGGGGCTTCCCCTTCAGCAGCGCTTGCTCAATCTCGTGCATGGGGAGGGCCGTGATGTCCTCGCCCTCGCCAGCTGTGTCCAGCACAACACTGCTTGCACTGCACTTGGTGGACTCACGGCTGGCCCTCACCATCTGCAAGCGTGAAGCTGGAGCAGCCCTTGGAGTCTGGGACTCGGGGACTCCAGGCTCAGGGACTGCGGACTCAGGCTCAGAGGGCCCAAACTCCTTCGGCTCCTGGGTGGGTGGCACGTTGGGCTCGCCAGGGGAAGATGTGGCATCGGGCTTGCCTGCCTCAGGATGGGGATGGTCCGGCGCGGGCTGGTCCAGCGCGGGCTTTGGCTCGGAGTGGCCGCTTGCACTTGCAGGCGTGTCGCTGGCGCTTGCCTGCTTGGCTGCGGCCTCTTGCTTCTTGCCATAGCGCACCCCCAGGACCATGCCTTCGAAGACAATGGACTCCAGCGGCCCACTAGTCTCCACAGTGGCGAGGATGATGGAGTCCTCGTTGCAGAGGGCCCAGCGCAAGGATCCTGCAGGTACGGAGTTCCACAGGACACACTCAAAAAACAACCGCGAAGCCCTACTAATTGCGATTGTTTTTGTACCAGTGCAACGCCACAAAAGCTGGTCCTGTCTTGCTTTGCGGAAGGTCAACCAAGTCTGGGCTGCAGCCTCGCTCAGTGATGACTGACTTCAACGACCAAACCTGGTTCTCGTCGGTGGCCACCACCAGCAGAACCTTGTGAGCGTTGAAGGCTGCTTGAGGGCCACCGCTCAGCAAGAGCAGCTTCACACGGTCTGTCCGACTCTCGCTGCCCAACTGGTTGCCCATCTTGCAAACTCTGGAACTCAGAAACACGGGGACTGGGGACTGGCTTCAGATTCTGCGGCAGGACAGCAAGCGAATCCAACTGGCTCTGACCAGCAACAAGCTAAAGAACAATTCAACCCCTTGCTGAGCGGAAAATGGGCTGTGGGGGAAACTTAAGATTTCCAGACGCACCAGTTGTTTCCCAGACACGGGCAGCGGTTTCCAGACACCTGCAACTGCCTCGCCTGCCAGGTGCCCCGGCTGTGTCCTCTGACATCAGGGACTCCGCGTTGGCAGGGCTTTGGCCTCAGCATCAGGAACCGTACGAGGTTGTGTGCTGGAAAGAAATGTTTGGCTCCCTCCCTTGTTTCAGCATTCTGGAAAGTTGTTCGGTTTTGGATGGACAAGCAGCTGGCAACGATTGTTTGATCTTGGCTATGACTGAACCTCGAGCATGCCCACGGTGCTAAAGAACTTGAAGAACACACCCATCCAAAACCGAACACTTTTCAAAGGAGGTCGTCGTCGCAAAGGAGCAGCGAGGTCAACCCAGATATTTGCTCTCATTGGGAGTTGGCCCCTGGGGTTTCAGAATGTGCCCAGCAACACCAGCATTAACACCCCTTTGGAGGAAAGCGCCTAGCCCTGGAGCCACACTGTGTGGCCTCTCGTCCAGAAAGAAATTTTGTTTTAGAGGTACCAAAAGCTGCAATCCTTGAAGAGTGTTTGCAGCAAAGGCAAACCTGCACAGGCGTTTCAGTCAGGGCACATCAAGGCCAACCCACCGTTTTGAAGCTGGGCAAAGGTAGCGAATAAGTATCGCATCTCTCGACCAAACAGGAGCCACCTGCAGCGACTATTGCTTTCAAGCGTGGCCTTAGACCAGGCCACACAAACAACCAGAACATCAGGGCCTTAAGCGAATCGATGGGCTGAAGCTTGCTGAGCACAGCGCGTTGTTAAATTGGTTGAGACTCGCCAACCTGAAGGTTATTTGGATCAAGGTCAATGTAGTGGGCACGCTGGCCTGAACGTGTCTGTTTTTAGTTTGCGTCTTGGTTGTTTTGTCAAGCTAATTTACCAGTTTCATCAAACTGGTTGGGTTTTGAGGGAAGGCTTATTACGCTGAAGTCGGCAATGCTGGGGTTATCGGGGCTGCGTGTGGAAGGACGGGCAGTGCGTTTGCAAGAACGGTGGGTACTACTCCATATGCCATGCAAGCGGCCACCGCAATCTGCTTGAGAAGTGAAAGACTTGAGGCGGCAAGCCGTGGACGCCGCAGCCGGCAGCTCATTTAGTTGCGCCGAGTTTTTTCTGTAGGCTATTTTTGGCAAAGTATGCCCTGACCAGTAGACGGGAACTAGCGCGCAGGCGGTAGCGTTTGGCGTGGCCTTGTAGAGCGCAGAGCTTGAGGGCGCAACGCGTAGTAGGGCTGTGTAGTTTAGTGCCAGCGTTGGGGCTGCGCTGTACTGCTGCGTGCGCCGCGCGTTAGCTCTGTTCTTAATTTGAGTTTAACGGCGGCTGCGCTTGCAGCCAGAATAAATGTTCACTGGTTCAGGGATGCGCGAGGGCGACAAGGCGCTTGGGGGCTTGGGTAAAACCGCGTCTCGGCTGTCAGAGAATGAATGGTTCAGCCATGCCCACGGAAACTTGAAAAACCAATGAGCCGAGGCCCTGGCTTGGCGAAGCTGCTTATGGCGGCAGCCGCCAGCGACAGCCGCTGCCCCCCCCCCCCCCGCCCAGCCCAGGTAAACTGCCCCAAGCTTAAGAATAGGGGATAGCAGGGGCGTTGTCAAACATAAAGCCTACTGACGGGCTTGCTGCCTTTGGACTGAGAATTTGAAGGGCAATTCTTGAACAGCTATATTCGCGTGCTTGTTTTAAACCAGCTTCTTCCCATTCCAAAGGCTAGCCGCCCGTTACCTCCATTGACTACAGTGTTCAAACAGGGGTTTTAGAAAGGTGTCGGCTTTGGATGGGCCAGTCTGGGCCTAGCACAAGTGGCAAATCACAACTTCTTACAAACACTGGGAAGCACAGAACATGTTTTTCACTTTGTCTACTATGCTAGACCCAGCATGGCGCATCCAAAACCGACACCTTTTCTAAAACCCCCAGTAACCCCCAGTAACCCCCAAGGAAGCAATTATTTGCTGGGTTTTCTCACGTAAACCTGGGAGTGGGCTTTTATTGCCAGTATTTTGGTCAGTACTTCCTTGAAAGGGGCCATGCAGTTTCAATGCCAGACACGCTGCAAGGCTCTGACAAACAGTAGTACATGATGCGAGGGACCTTCTCACAGAGCCTCACACAGGTCTAACATGAACTTGCATGACCCCAAATATGAAGATAATAAGGGCCCATTCCTGAGGTTTACATGATATTAATGCCCCAAAATAGACTACCGGAATCAAAAACCAGACTACCACAATCAATGATCACCGGTTTCGCCTTTTAAGACCGGTTTATTCAACATCTTTCACCCATTCAGGCAACTTCAGGTAAGCATGTGCCTCAGAATTGGTGAAGCATTTGCGGTATTGCAGGTGAAGCAAAGAGGACACAACAGGCCATGGCTCAAAAGCCGGTACCCATAGTGAACATCCCAATCCCCACTAAAATTGGTTCCAAAATGGGTGGTGAATTCACCTACCAACCAAAATGGGATCCCACTGGTTTTGACCCACAGCCAACACATTTTCAGGGACCACTCCGAAGAAGCGGCCAGCGAACGGCCCCGTTTGCGACGCGCAAGGACAAACACATGGCGGTGCTGTCGAAGAGCTCGGGGTTCCCGGAGATCGGACCTGGAACCCGCTCGCTGTCCGATTCGATCCAATCCAAAGGGGGGGCAATTGGTCCCCCAGCGAGCTAGGTGCCAACTTTTACCGTTTCTTTTTGGGTTGGGAGGGTTCCCCTTTACTAAAATAGACTACAGAAAGAAGTTGTTACCAACTTCTTCTAACCTCTCTACTGGAGGATCTTTTTGGGCAACACATTTAAGTAGTACCGCCAGGGCCATGGGTTTGTCCTTTTGAGAATGGGCAAAAGTGGGAAACTCCTCTTGGACATGTGCCAAACTTTTGCTAAAGGCGGAAAAAGAACGGCCCTGGAGTCTACCACATGGGACGGTGTCAATCCCCTAGATCGAACTCATCTTTGTGGGAGATGATGTTGGAAAAGGGAACCTTGCCCATTTGTCATAGGATCCCCCAAGCCAGGGTTTGCCTTCTGAACTTCCCGCCCGAACGGGAGATTGGCGATCCAGGATGTTCCTCCAAAAAAGGTTTGGTTGGTTTTGAAGGGCAACCCACAGGCGTCACTAGTTTTGTTTTGTATGCACCATCAATGAAACCTGAAGCTTAGACTTGGGGTGAGGGCCTTTCATAGAGATGCCACCAATGTGAGGATTGCAGTCAAGGGTCATCAGCATGACTTTTTGCGAGTGTTTTTTGCGATGGCGCAGCTGGGGTTTTTCAAGTCAGTGGTTCCGGTGACCCTTTCGGAAAAGGGTTTCCCTTCTAGGTCCCCAGTAGTGCCCTTTTAGCCTTTTTTGGGGGGAGGGTTCCCCTACATAGACTACAGAAAAAAGGGTACCCTTATTCTTCCCTTGCATCTCCTTTGCCAGCGACCAAATCTGTCCCCTTGTGCCAGGGGTTGGAGCAACTTCCTATCCAGTTTCCAGGCGCTGAGGTTTGCTTGGCTGAGGCGCTGGCTGGATTGTGGCCATCTCCCGACACAAGGAGCAGAACAAGCGTCTTGGACCTCTTGGACAATTGCCATATGGCCGTGGGTCAACACCAACGGTACGTACCATTTTGGGGAAGGTGCACCACCCATTTTGGTCCATCGGGGATTGGGATGTTCACTGGGGGTACGGGGTTTCGACCCACGCCCATATGTGTTGGGTAGTTTTCTCGCTTGCCCAACGCCGACCTGTCAACATTTTGGTTTCCCCTTGGTCCATTCGTAGTGGCCCCGAAAGATTCTAACTTTCAGGTCTGCACTGGGCGACGGAGTCTTAGCATGCTTGCATGGCCATGGGTCAAAAACCCATGCTTCCGGTGAACATCCCAATCCAACCACTAAAATTGGTTCTAAAATGGGTGAATTCACTACCCCAAATGGGATCCCATTGGTTTTGACAACCACAGCCGCATGTTTCTCTGCAAAAGCGCGGGAGCTGCGGGAGCTTTTTGCTCGTGCCGCCGGAGATTCTCAGGTCGATGCACCCGTTTTCAATCCGTTGGTGTGTGTTCCCCCCAAAACAAATCACCCTGGGGCACTCCCACGAACCAAAGTAATCACAATGTCAATGCCCTGTATCTGGTTGTGGTTGTCAAAACCAATGGTACCATTTGGGGTAGGTGCACCACCCATTTTAGTCTATTTTAGTGGGGATTGGGATGTTCACTGGAAGTACGGGATTTTGACCATCAGGAGAAAACAGGTTTTGCCACAAAACACCACAGAAAAACAAAGGAAGACGACTCACGAAAAAAGGAGGAAATCCAGCAATGCTCAATCAAAGAGAACTAGATCTATAGATCAACATCACAAAAGGAAGTTCCAGCAATACTACAACTCAGATCCAGCAATACCAACGAAAAGGGGCTGAAAGCCAACAATAGAAAATTAAATTATTCGAAACTCAACTTTGGGCCGAGCAATGCCAAGCAGTTTGCCATGTTCGGCCCGTTTGATTCGAGGTATTTTGACAAGCTGCTGCAAGAGAGCGCGTCCCGGCAGCCTGTTTTGGAGTGAACCGCTTGTGCCGGCTGGAGCCCTTAGATTTCCTTAGAAGCGTCCTTGAAGCCCAGTATTAGACTCAAGGGGTGTACTCATCTTTTGTCAGCTTGGACGCTCCAAAATGGCTCAACCTTTTTGGTTTGCCTGCAGAACCCGCAGAACGGGGCGCCCACTCCAAGGGGCGCACCCACATGGAGCCCCCAGGATCCAGGTGCTTTGGATTTGACGCCAGGGTCCGGGAAGCCAAAGAGCTGGTCGACAGCGGCAGGCGTGGACGTTTGTACGGGGGGTCACCGAACAACTGAGTCAACTGGGTCCCCGAGCAATTGGTGCCCTTTTACCGTTTCTTTTTGGGTTGGGAGGGTTCCCATTTACTAAAATAGACTACAGAAAGAAGTTGGTACCCTCATTTTAACCTCTCTACTGGAGACCTAGACAAAAACGCCAACCAAGGAGGCCGCGCTCTATCTAATTCTCGTCCGAGAAACGTCCTCACTTCTGAGTTTCTCGACTTGATGCTTTTTGCGAGGACAGTTACTTGGTGAACAGCAAGGTCAGCTTTGGGTGTGTCTTTTTTGAGGGTGCCCCCTTTTTTGGGTTGCTTCAAGCAAACACCAAAAAGACACCCCCCCCCCCCCCCGCATTTTGGGGGGGTCCGGCCTTAAAAAGACGAGCCACCCATTTGCTTTCTTGCCCTTCGCCGATCAGGTGTGAGCACCTTTGCCACTTCATCGCCTTGAAATTCAAGGCTCCCACCGATCGCGCCGATCGCGCCGATCGACATTGCGGCGTTGTTTTTGTGTTTGGTTTTGTGCTTCACGTTTGTTCAGCATCTTTTGCTTGGCGGTCTTGGAATATGTTTGTTTGTTTGTCCGTCCGTCCGTCCGTCCGTCTGGCTGTTTTTTCTTTGTTTGCGTGCTTGCTTGCTCAGCCGCAAGAACAACTGGAACCAGGGACTCGAACAGGCCTTCGAGCAGCAAAAGCCTTCGCGCGGCAAGAAGCGCAACGTGGGAGCATGCCGGCCAGAACAGGAATCCGCCCCCCATCCTTGCTCGCACGCCCGGCCCCCGGTTTCTTGTTTGCCCAAAACCTGGCTGTGCGCCTTGGGCGCTCTGACTGTGCTTTTTTAGTGGGTCCATTTCATTTTTCAGATCGGAGTACAAGAGCGGCCTTCAAGCTGTTTGTGTTTTCCCAAGCTCGCCGCGGGCAGGCGGCATGGTTCAGAAAGCCTCTAACCGTGGCGTGTCATGTTTGACACGGGTGGCATGTCCCAACTGGCTGTGGTTGTCAACGCCAAAGGGATCCCATTTTGGGGTAGGTGAATTCACCACTCATTTTAGTCTATTTCAATGGGGGTTGGGATGTTCACTGGGGGGTAACCGGGCTTTTGACCCATGGCCAACGCAATCTCTGGCCGCTTCCGCTGGCATCAGGAGGACAGCAGCTTCCAGCTCTCCAACAACTTGAGCATCTTGGCTTCGGCCAGCGAACCGACGGCCTTGGTGGTCCCATGGTCCCATGGGATGCGGGCTTCTTTTTTCTTCTGTTTCTGGGGTTGAGGGGGATGGCAGGCACTTTTTCGGTTTTTCCTCTGACGCGGCCACAGTTTGTGAGCGACTCCATGACAGGAGCCAACTTTGTTTGGTTGAAAGCCCAAGTCACTTGCTGTGCCTGCACATGTCGAGATTCTTGCAATAAAAGTTTAAAAGGGGGATGTCGCCTGAAATACTGTGTTGACCCCCAACTTGTTGGTTTTCTCCTTCCTTTAGATGGCGTTCTCTCTTTTGGGAACAGGGGTGTGTTTGGATGGTTTCAGGCACTTGGGATGAGATGTTCGCAAGTCTAGCTGAAGATGCCCCAGTGGCGGGTTGCCTTTAGCTGGACGTGGTTTCTCTCGAAATCGAGCGAGCCAGAACGTGGCACTGTACGGATGTTTGGGGCTTTTTGGCTCGTTGTGCTGTTTTGCCCTGTCGCTCATTCTTAATGTGGCCTAGTGCTGGCGTTTCTTTCTGGTGGCACATGTTTCGCCCGAGAAGATAAGGTCTTGGGTTGCATACAGGCCAGAAAAAGGTTTCCCTTTTGGACCATCCGTATTTTGCCAAATTGTAGTGGGCACCATTTGTCAGCCCAACTGTGGCTGGACATTTTCCACTTTGTGCGGTTGGGATGGATAGAGCACGTGGGATAAACCACCAATAAGAAGCGTTCAAAAGTCGTATGGACCCTGTTTGGGTCCGTATGGGTGTGTCTTTTTGTAGGGCACCCAAACAAATTGTTCCTTGAAAACCACCGCAAAAGGGGTCCCCCCTAAAAAATGGTGGTTTCCTTTTGGTGTTGAATGAAAACCACCACAAAAGGGGTCTGCTCCTTGAAAACCACCCCCAAAGGGGTCCCCCAAAAAACCGGAACACACCCATTTTTTTTGGTTCGCCGCCCCGATTTTTGGAGCTTTTGGAGCTGGGAGTCGGGGGGATTCGGGCCCGGGGATGGAGGCTGCGAGTGGGGGATCGCCCACCGCCTGGACGTGGACACCAGCGGCTTCTCGGGCCAAAGAGTTCCCACTGGTTACATGGAAGTGCAAAAAGGCCCTGAGTCTTTCTACAGGGGTGTGTGCACGTCCATGTTAGCTGGCCTTTTTGTAGGTGGGACGCCCCCCCAAAAAAATGGGCGGGCTTTCCTTTTAGTTTCCTGTTTTTGAGCCACGGAAAAGAGGGGTGCCCTCAAACAAAGACGCGCCCAATGGATGGCTTGGATTGCTGGTTTACTAAAGAGGGGGTGGTTTCACATCCACCAACTAGGGGGTACCTGCGTCGAGGTTCGTTAAGAGGCGAAAGACGGCGAGGGGATTGATCCGATCTCCTTTCGATGGATCGGGACCCAGTCAGGGGATCAATCCCAAGAGGGACTGGGAATCGGCGTGTCTAACCCAGAAAGGTACCAAACCAGCCACTTTAAAGGGACGCACTACCACTTTAAAGGGGCGCATTTAACGTGCTCCAATTGGTTCTTTATGGAAGTCTCTTGACTTGTTGCCAAATTGAACGCCAAAGGAAGCTGTCTAACGGGTTCGAACGAAGGTACGAGACTCCCTTGAACATCGTCTTGAAACTTGCGTCAGAGCCCCAAGAGAAAGCAGTCCACATACCCCTTTGCCACGTCAGTTGACGTTCGGGTACGTTTAAGCTTCCCTCGGCCTTGTTGCCAAAGCCCAGATGAAATACCAGATCCGCATATGTCGATCCAATAATTAAGTGGTCCAATTGAGTATTTCTCAAAAGGGGCCAACCAGGTAGGTTGCCCTAGTGTGAATATTTCAACATCACCGTATTTCAACAACTGATGAGTTTTGTGGCCAAAGACCGATCAGTTTACTGGACGTTCAACGAGGGATGGCCATGCAGCATATTGTTCGGCATTGGTTGATGCATGATGAAGCTCGTCTTGATTTGTGATTGAACTGTTGTTGGTTGTTTCAACGCCAGTGAGAAAAGCTTAGAATTTGGTCATTGCTGTTGAGTGCTCCATTAACTTGTCTGTGTTTGGTGATTAGCATTTCTTGAGTAACCAAGCCTGGCTTGTGTAATAATAAAACTTTCCGTGTTGGCTGTAGGTGGTTGGAACCCAACTCCCACCCCATTTCTTCCAGGGAGAGTCAAATGCCTCGGTTTCAGAAAGCTTCGAATCACCCCACCCCCGGTCTCGGGAAGAACAAATAGCGGCCTGAGGAGCCATCATGATCGGAAAGACGGCCGAAGGCGCTGGTTTTGGGTCCCCCGACCCAATTGGCTGAACCCACTCGGCTGGCTGAAAAAACGTCTTCCAAGCCCCGAGTCATGTTTAACTCGGTGCGAGAAGTAGGGACAGCAATGAACCCAGGTGCCCTAGGAAGATTTCCTTTAAGTGCACCTGGGTTCATTGTTTGAAATCACCAGTTGGTTCACCAGTTGGTCATTCCATTTCTCATTCTCTGAGCAAGTTAAGTCCCAAAGGATCCCTGAGCTCAGAGGTTTGGATCATGGAGATGGACCCTCGGGTTTCGCTCTCAGGGGCCCAGTTCCCGACCAGGCCGTCTTTTGTTTTGTTGAAGCCTACTTTGAGCGTTGAGATGATGCGGCTTCCCATGTTTGATGGAATCCCATCACCTCCACCCCCCCCCCCCCCCCCGGTTTAGGGTCTTGTTTTGGGGGAAGCAAGGGGATGGTTTCCTCACACTCGAGCGCATGTTCAGCCAAGACAGGGTGGTTTGCAGACACACGAGGTCGTGTTTCGCAATAGAACCCTGGTTCCCCCCGATTAGTAAGCAGAAACGTGGCAGCTTCCTCTTGACTTCTCTTTCAACTTATCCCATGTTGGGGCACCCCGATGTTGGTATCCTTTAGAGAGGGAACGAAAATGGCAACGCGGGGACTCTCATAGCGCACCCTCACTTTGTAATTTGGCGGCTTGAGGCAGGCTGCGTGGGTTGCTGATAAGCAAAGGCTGCACTTCGGTTTGAGGGATTTTTGGCTTAGGGCTACTTCCTTTTTGGTATGTTTGGGTTGCTGGACGTGCTTTGAATATGTGTTTATTCAGCCCCTTAGATGGCTCAAACGTCGTGTTGGTATGGTGTTTAGGTATTTGATTTGTTGTGCTGTAGCTTTCTTCAACAGGGCTATGTTACGAACAAATATGGTGTTGTTTGTCATGCGATTTTGTCGGTCATATCCAGTCTGTTCGTTCGAGGTTCCGCAGAAGCCAGAGCAGGAAGTTCCGCATGTGCATATCCCACTTCGCTCCAAAGAAGCCCTTCAGGCTTGCTTATCAATGGGTCTGAGTTTGGGAGACAGGGAGCAGGGGGAGCGGGGGGTTCGGGCAGCGAGGGGAGTGGATCCCGTGGCAGTACAGGTTGCATACTTTGCCCGTGGCGCACCATGGATGTTTCCGCGAGTGAAGTCTTTTGGGGGCCAAGGTGGCAATTTTTAGACACATAGTCCACCAGAATAATACGGACCGCAGGCAGGGCAACCCATTTTGGGGGGGTTACCCTGCTTTTGAAGCCGGAAAACCCCCGAAGAATGGCTCAAGCAGGTTTTTCTTTTGGTTTTCCCCTTAAAGCAACCCAAAAAACGGTTGGAGCCTCCCCCAAAAAGTGGCTGTGGGCCAAAACCAATGGGATCCCATTTTGGTGTAGGTGATTTCACCACCCATTTTCGAACCTATTTTAGTGGTTGGTTTGAATCGGATGTTGACTGGGGGTACGATTTTGATTCTGACCCATGGCCTGTTGTGTCCTTTCAAGTTTTTTTTTTTGTAAAGCCACCCAAACAACTTGGGTTTTCCCTGTAAAGCCACCCAAAAAACTGGGGGTTCCCCTTTAAAGCCACCCAAAAAACGCAGGGTTTTCCCTTTAACACCCCCCAACACACGCGGGGGCGCCTCCCCAAAAAAGGTCAGAAATCAGAGCCAAGCCCCACCCAACTGGAGGCTTCCGGCACTTGCGGGAGGCCTTCTCCAGCCACGTGGTGCCGGGACGCCGAGCGATCGGCCGCCGGAGGTCCGCCAATTGGATCCCCAAAAGCTTCGGACTGGGGGGTTAAATAAAGCCAAAACTGGGGGGCCACAAAAGGGTGGTGGGGGCTCAAAAGGTTTTGGTGTTGTGATATTCTTTTGAAGTGAGGTGCCTCGAACCCAGGCCTGTTTCCAAGAAATATTGGAATCTTCCACACAGCGACTCTATGACCTGTGCTGCTGCCGTCTGCGAAGTGGAACACCTTGAACTTCTCCGTCTTCTCGCAAGCATAGCCCTCCGGGAGCGATTTCGAATACTCTGCTCGCCACTTCCTCGAATGCATACAGGAAGTGCAAGCGGTATCCACCAAGGCCACATGCGACTGGTTGATGCCGGTGCCATCGTCCGTGAGCTGATGATGAACCTCAAGGTAGTAGACAATGGTACGCTCGTATCAGCAATAAAATAATTCTGCGGACATTTTAACCTTCGGGGGCAAGATACCATGTTGCGCACAGAGTGCGTTGTTTTGTCCACGAGCACGCTAACGTACACGAGCACGGCAGATATAGAAAGTGAGATAGCTACATTGGAAGCGTTAGCTGACAATGTACCAGGTATAGATATAGCTATTTGGTTCAATTGTGGGGGGGGGATGGGGTGGAAATGTGTTTGTTTCATTTTAGCTTGTACTAGATTTCTGTCGGATTCAAGCAATTTGGCTTGGCCAAAGCTTGTTGTTCCGGTTGTTGGTGGAACAATCAAATCGAGATGAGTTGCGCAGACCATTGTGAACCCCTGATTGAACGCCCCCCCCCACATAATACTATGGGGGAGGCCTTGCCTTGCTTCGTTGGGTTCCAGAGAATCCAGCGAATCATGCTTAAGCACAACAAGCAGAAAGTGTTCATCATGTGTCTTTCGGGCTCCCTTACGGTCTGGGTGCAATGGCCGCCGCACGAATCCGGCTTTTAATTCATTTATATAATTGTTACCCAAGTTAAGGGAAAGTCAATTTGCAAAGCGGGTCAGGTTGGCTCCTCTCGGTAAAGGCTCTAAGCGCCCCGCTTTACAAGTCACGCGTTCGTCCCGGAGCCGCGCTGGGATATGTTTTTTGCGCTGATGTCCATGATCCAAAGGTACAAGAGCCTCAGGACCTGACACTATTTGGGTGTGTCTCAAAATGAGGGACCCGACCAACTGGTTGGTTTCCTTTTGCTTTTCCATTGAAACCATCACAAGGGGATTCCCTATGTTTGACATCCCCATTCGTTTAAAGACACCCCAGTTGCAAGCTTAGCAAGCAATGAACCACCAAGACCTTCCTGAAATGCCCCTTTGGCTACGCGCAATAGGAAGATGGTGGACCACATGCAGTCAAATCCCATAGGACTACCCCCATTAGTTCGTTTTTGAATGTGGTCGAGCAAGCCAGCAGGAATCCTCGGGAATCCCTTGCCAACAAACAAGGACAATATGATATATATATATATGATACATACATATATATATATATATGTATGATACATATATATATATATATATGATATATATGATACATATATATATATATATATATGATATATATATATATGTATGCAATGGATCGCTGGATTTGCATCCTGGGATTGCTTTTCTTTCATACTCGGCGCCGTTGGCCTCCTCCCCGCTTGAGGTTCAAGGAGTACCTCTGCCTGGTCCACGGTGCTGTGAAGGAGAGCAGCGGCGAGGCGAACCGGTCTCAACGTCACGGGTTCCTTCGGCCGGGAAGCGCACCAAAACTCGGTCACCCGGAAGGCGGTGAGGGCTCAAATTTCACTAGGGTGTGGCTCAAAATTCAATAGGGCAAACCGCAGGTGTGAGTCTTTGGTTCCAGTGACCAAAGGTGCCATTTGGCTGTGGGTCAAACGTAGGCATCCAAAATGGCTTGCCCTGGCAAATGGAAAGACAAAAACCGGCGTTTTTGTTGTGTTTCTGGTGATTTAGTTTTGACCCATACCCACATGGGGTACACCAAAAACTGGGGCCGATGGCTGAAAGGTCCTTTGCCAAAAGGTGTTTAAATGCAAAGAGTCGTAGAAATGAAGCGTGGGAAGCCTTGGGGTGTTTGGTTCTCGAGATGTCCTTCCGGGTGAGTGCCTCCACTATTTGATCGATCAGCTGTCACAGCCACGTGAAACTATAAGCGGCGCCGGGGAAACTTTCATTCGACTTAGCCACGTTTCTACTTGAGGCATCTTTGGATGTCAGCATCAAGTGGGTTTGCAGGAAAAAAACATAAAACATCGGACCCCCCCACCCTCATCCCCCCCAAAGGCGATTCCACCAACCCCCAACTCCACTCCCCCAAAAATGTTCTCGAAACTGGAGGGCCCCTCGGTTTTTCCCCAATCGCCTGCGGGTGCGAGTCGCTTCCAGGTGAATCAGCCCATCCTTTGGGACTGCGGCACCAACACCTCGCGCCTGGGTCGAAGACGGGGGGACCCTGCCACCTTTCGACCCCAAGCATAGGTCGCCTTTTCGGTTAGCTTGATTAAACGGGTTTTATATGGTTTTATAGTCCATTGGGAAATGCATCTATGTGTCCAAAGGGCCACCTGCGCCCCCAACTTTCTTTCTTTTTTCGCCGGACCAAGAGGTAAGAAGTTGAATGGAGCAGCAGGTTTGGGGTTGGCAAAACCTGGCCCCCCAAAGCGAACTTCGGGCTTCGCTTCTGGGAAGCTCGCTTGCGAAGTCACCGCGTTTGATCTGGAGCTCACCTGAGGGAAACACAGCTTCGGTGGATTTCTCATTTCTGAATGCAGAATGTGCCCAGATTTGATTTGACCCTCTGGTTTTTCCGGTCAATTTTTGCTGCCAATAGCTTAACCTATGATTTCTGGGTCAAAACGGGGCAAGTGAGAAAACATAAGCTTGTAATGTTGACCCCGTATTAGTATGTAACCCCCCCCCCCCCCCTCGAAGGTCGGGAAGGTTTTGGGGGGGAATATTTTTTGCCACCCCCCCCTAAATAATCTGGAGTTGAGTTTCCATTTGTTTAGTATTGCTTATTGCTGGAGCTCCCTTTTGAGATCTGGAATTGAGTTTCCATTTGATTTAGTATTGCTGGGGCTTCCTTTTGAGATCTGGAATTGAGTTTCCATTTGATTTAGTATTGCTGGGGCTTCCTTTTGAGATCTGGAATTGAGTTTCCATTTGATTTAGTATTGCTGGGGCTTCCTTTTGAGATCTGGAATTGAGTTTCCATTTGATTTAGTATTGCTGGGGCTTCCTTTTGAGATCTGGAATTGAGTTTCCTTTGATTTATTGAGCTTCCTTTTGAGATCTGGAATTGAGTTTCCATTTGATTTAGCTTCCTTTGGGGGGTGGGGCCGATGGACCGCACTAATTAGGGGGGGATTATTAATTGGGGGTGTTAGGGGCCAATGTGGGGTGCTCTTTGAAACCTTCTAAACTTGATTTGTTTAGTAAAGAATTTAATAAGAAATCGACCATCTCAGAACACTTTTTGTTTTGTGGTTTGGGCAGGCCCAAAAGTATCCACCAAGCTTCAAGATGAGAGTAGGAGGTGGAGATGAGAGCCCTAAGCAAGGCAGCAGCATGAAGAGAAAGGTACCAGAAGAAAGCATGAGCCCATTTGAGACAAAGCACCTTTTCAGCACACCATTCAGAGAAAGCATGGCAAGCAGCATGAGTCGATTCAACATCAGCAGCATCAGCTAGCACCAAAAAACAGTTTACATTGTAATGAGCTCAAGAAGCAGTGGAGAAAATGAGATAGCAGCAGCCATCTGGGGGAGGGACCGGTCTAATTGGGGGGGGGGGTTGTTTTGCATCATTTTTTATTTGGGGGGTATTTTCTGAGATATGAATTGTTTAGTATTGGGGGGGGTCAGCCCGACCGAACTAATAGGGGGGGGAATTATTAATACAGGGTCAACATTACTGGCTCGTGTTGCAAGCCTTGAAAAAGCAGGAAACGGATTGGTAGTGCTTATGCAGGCTTCCAAAGTTTGGACACTTTACCATGTGATCCAAAGGACAGGATCTGTTTGCTTTGTGTGACCCGCATTAGGGCATGAAAATTCAACTGGCAACCCAAGGCGTATTATCCGCTTTGTGTCAGGTCCCTGAGTGCAAATCAGAGTTGGTCTCATGACTCGTGGGGATTCTGGAGGAATGAGCTGAGATGGCGAGCTTGAATCGATTGCCAAGTTCCTGGGTTGTAGCAGATACCCTTTAACTGGTAGCAGCCGCCAAAAAACAACACAGCCACGAGGACATGCCATCGGTACTCCGTGGGATCCCAGGTGCATCTCTTCCTCTGGGGATTGGGCGCAGACCTTCTTCACCCGAGTGGGCCACTACAGGCGAGACGCGAGACTCGAGACGGGAAGATATTCGAAAAAGTGGCGGTGGTGGTCAAAAATACGTTGGTGCATTTTGCTTGGATGTTAGGACTTGAACTTTTTGCCAACTAATGGGCTTTCCATTAAACAACTAGAAGTTAAACTTTTAGCAGGGGGGCAGAAAGCAACCGAGAATAGACCATCCAACCTATGGTTTCCTTCAAGGGAATCCCCTTCGGTTCATTCCCAACACCCGGAACGGTCATTCCCCACTGCATTACGCCAAAAAAGATTGCCCTGATAAATGGGACTAAAATTTGCGGTCCATCTGGCGGTCTAATTTTGACACACGCCCGAATCAGTTGGAAACAGACCCTTCAAGTGGACATCGGCAAACACAAGAACAACATGGCTGGATTTATGCCACCAAATATGTTTGAGGGATTAATTTCCTCATTTTTGTTTTCTGGGATGTTGGTTCCCAGCTTTATTTTGAAGGCAACCATCCAAATAAGGGGTGAGAGCCATCCAGAAACAGGGAACCTGCTGGTTCAGTGGCACCCTTCCGCTAACTCCCTTTTGTTTGACTCCAGCTGAACGGGATTTGTGTCCAAGCATTTTTGAGGGCATTCCCCTCTGAAAAAAAATCATAGTGACAGTGTTTTGTTTGGAGGGTTGTGGTTTTGGGTTTTTTTCAAGGCAAGCCAAAAGGAGCCACCGCGTTTGGGAGGGGATCCACTCAAGATACCGAGGCGCGAGCGGTGCCAGAAAGGTGATGTTAGAAGAACCCCACTAGGGGCATGGTGCTCGCCCAGTTTGTCATTTCTCAGGGAATCCCACCAGGTTGATCAATTTGGGCAGTCAACATTGCATTCGCTAGGCCAAGACCCTCAATGTTTGTATTAATTTTAGGGGGAGCGGGGAGCCGAATCGCTTGCGCGAGGCTGAAAGGCGGAAATCAGGTCTTCAGCCTCTGCCGCATCGTCATTGTGACCGGCAGGAATCGAAGCGAATCGCCGCGTTTGAGATTTCTTCGTATCTGTGTTCCTTTCCGGGTGAGTTTTTTTTTTTGGGGGGGGGGTACCCCGATTTTTGTGGGTTTGAAGGTAAACCACAAGAACCGACGCCATCTTTGGGGGGTCCAAAAAATGGCCACACACCCTGAAGGGTGATCTTCCCTTTGAAAGGCTCCGGACTGAGTCGACCTGAAAGGCTGGCACTAGGCACTCCCGCAGGACCCACCAAATCCGCGTGCACATGGCCTCCATTGGACATCCCCTGGTCAGCGATGGCAAGTGCGCGCGGGGAAGGCTATGGATTTTAGTATGGTGGGCAGAGATTCCCCAAAAACTCTTCTGGCGGATCTGGGGAGAAGGCCGAAATATCCTTGGAACAGGCGCCATTTGGGGAAGTAGGCCGAAATAGGCCCTATGTAAGGGTCATTACAAGGCTTTTGAGAGGCCTGATTTTGGGGTGTATGGACTTACTCTTTCAAAGTAGTGGCCTGTGTTGGGTTGCTTGTTTGACAGCATGGAGGCGGTTGGGTGGCTGAGCTTTTCAATAAAATCCAGAAGGAAACGACCATTTGAGGGAGGTTGCCAGGCTTGTTTTGGATGGATCCTTAACTTGGGAAAGCCAACCACTCTACAGGTTCACTTTCACAACCGAAGACCATTGCCCAGTTTGATCATGGCAAAAAGAACAACAAGTGATGAGTCGAGCTAAAAAGCACCTCTGAATTCATTGTTCTACAGCAAGCCAAAAGGGGATGGATGATTTTGATACATCTTCCAGACCTATTGAGCACGGGCATGTGTCAAAAGGTGTTGTGGGATAGGAAACCAACACTGGAGGTGTCCAATCTGGCTCCACTCGCGGCTTTGAATCCAAGCTTGCGCTTGTAACTTTCAGCGACCTCTACAGAACATATGGGGGGGATTTTTGTTGCCAGCCACAAAAAGAGAGTTGCCCAAACCGACCAACAAAAAAGCAGTGGGCTTACTTTGGGTGCCTAGAGTCCCCTCCCTATATTTTCAGTGTAGACGTAGTCCAGTGCTTTGCTCCTGTGTTTGGTTTCTTGCCTATCCATCTGGCCGAAGCAAATCCCCGTGAGATCGGAGCTGCGCCCGGTGGGTTTTTCCACAACCCCTTAGGCTAAGCCCCCAAACACACCACCCGCCAACACACTGCTGTGGGGAGACTGGGGGAAGGCCACCATAGACCAACATTGGAGGTGTGGTTCTCTGTGTGTGTGTGTGCGCATGTTGTGTGTGTGTGTGTGTTGGGAGGTGGTAGGAACATGTTTACGAGTTTCCGAAACCTCTTGGCTATCTCCCAGAAACTCCTTTCCCAAAATTTTAGAGCTCATTTAGCACTGCACCTACCCCTGCTTTCCGGGCCAGCCAACCACTTTGTCATGTTGTTTTGTCAGAAATCTTGTGCGCGTTGCGGTCCGAAATGCCGCATGTCTACAGTTGGGAGGTACAACAGCAAGAACAAGACCGATCTGATGCGCGAGCCTTGGGCAAACCATTTGGGGCACCCACGCGAGCTTCCGAACCTGCACGCGCAGGTCGATCTTTTGACCTTTGGGTCTTTAGATTGAAGTTCCAAAATCAACACCCTAGTGCCCATCTTCACCCTAGTGCCCATCTTCAACCTTGGTTTGAAGATGATTGAAACCCCAGTTGGGTGCTGGAAGATGAGCGCGAATCGGTGGCAGGGAGGGATGCCTTGAGTGCGCCCAGGGAACATCGACACAGATGGCCAGTTGAGATGAGGGATGGTCATTGAGAGCCTGCAACCTGTGTGGCCATGTATTTAAACACTTCACCCTGTTTTATGAAAAGTCTATGCCAAAATCAGACTTATCGCCTAGAAACTTTTCGAAGGAGCATTGTAGCAAAGGGGCAGGTGGCTGTTGCATGTTTAAGCATGGGCGGAGTACGGCCAAAGAAGAAAACCGCGGGAGCTGTTTTCATTCTGCACGTCAAGGCTCGCCAAACGCGGTCCATGATCTAAAATCTATGACTTAAGTTGGGCCGAAGAAGATTTGACTTGAGCACGCACTACCGCATCTGCCATGGCTGAGGTCGCCCGGTCGGGTTGCTGGCTGGTGCTCAGTAGGGATGTAGGAATGAACCCAGGTCGTGGTCCCCAAGAAAAGGACACCAGAAGGAACGGTTGATATACCGGGTCATTCCATTTCTCATTCCCTGCATCTCTCGCACCGGCACCCGGCTGGAAACGGGCGGCTTCCTGCAGGTGGTGCCCGCGGATGTTTCTGCACGCCTGGCGCCTGGGCTTCTACGACCTCTTCTACGCCTGGCAGGAGGCGGAAGCTTTGTAGCTGGTTTAATGGTTGGGTTTCAATTTAACCCACGAAAAGTGGGTCACATTTAGCAGAGCGGACACAGACGTCAATGGGGTTTGGGCCCAGTTCAGGTGGTTCGACGTTTTCTGTTTGTTGAGGTTGAGTGCTGTTGTGAGATTGTTGGAACCCACCCAGATGTACGGGTGTTCTGTCTTGACCCCAGTCGCAAACCAAACTGCAGGCCACTACTGAAAACTGCAGGTGCAGGATATCAAAACCGCAGGGGTAGGATGGCTGACCCGTTTTTTCGGTCCCAGGTACGTACAAGTAAGTATCTGTTTTTTAGACCGAAAGAGACATTTATGATAATGGACAGTTTGGTAGGGCGACTTGCTGTGATACCAAGGAAAATCCTCAAGGTGATGCACTACTAATGGGAGCGGGAATTCCACTTTGATATTACAATAAGCTCAGGTGATATCCCCAACAGCATGCGGTGGTCTTTTTAGTGCTCCGCAGCCCTCGCATCGCAGAACCCTGGTGGAACCCTGGTGGAACCCTGGTGGAACCCTGGTGGAACCCTGGTGGAACCCTGGTGGAACCCTGGTGGAACCCTGGTGGAACCTTGCCTGAGGGCCGCCCCGGACTATCTGGGCTGAGACCCCAAAGCTTTCAGCTGTTGGGGGAAAAATAGCTATTTTCCACAATGGGCGCATTTCCCAAAAGGAACATGTCGGCCTTAGAAGATACACAAACAAGAGGGTTTTTGGAGCAAGCAGGGCAGGGTGCCTTTCCTGAGAAATTCGAACCCAACTAGAAAAGCACATGGTTTACAAGGGACTCCTTCTGGAAGAACATGTCAGGGGACTGATGCCTAAGGAAGTATTCGGGAGCTCGGGGCTTCTTTTTTTCAGGTCGGCGGACCAAAATCCGGAATCTCTTCCATGGACCAACCAGGTTTTTGTTTGGGGCTCTCTGGCTGCTTTCTCGCTTCGATCCAACGGATTCCTTCCCAGTGCTCCAGTGGCAGTATCTTTGTCACGTAGGTCCCAAGCGTTTTTGGTTTCGAGGTCTCCTTTGGAGAGCCACAGACAGGGCTCCCCAAGGTGCCCAACTTGCTCACTCGGAACCGGCTCTCCCGGCTCCGGGGCTCCCCTGTGGCTCAAGTCTAGGCATCAGGATCCCCCCACCTTCGATCGGGACCTCTTTTTCTGGGGTTCCAGGTCTCCGATTCTTCTGAAAACACTGAAGTTTCCTAGTGACTCTTCTCCTTACGATGAAGGCTTGCGATTAGGCAGTGGGTGGGCCTGTGGCTTCTTTCTGACAAGTGCAGGCCGACACAGCCTCATGCTATGGGTGTGATTGGAGATTCCGTGGCAGCAGCTGAGTTTTACAAGGAACCTGGGCTGTTGAAATGCAACACCAAGACATGGGCCAACATCTTCAAGGAGCATTCCTCGAATGTGAAGAAGACGCGGTGCTGGCCTGGTGGTCCTTAGGCCGCCGAGAGGAGCACCCAGGCTGAGCCATGATGGGACGAAATGACCAAGAGGTGGACGGCTTCAGAGGAAGCAGTCACAGGAACTTCAGGAAGTCTGCTGTGCACCAGAAAACAAATCCAAACTAGTTGGCTAACTGCTTGCAGACTTTCCAGAAAAAGTATACAGTTTCTTGGAATCCATGCCAGCCAGCCCCTCCCCTCCCCCAGCCCGCCCCTAGCCGCCCGCAGGTCAGAACCAGCCTGCCCTCGGACCTGCGCAAAGCGCTGAGGACCTCGGCATGTGGACCCCCCAAACGGCTCGGGTGTTAAGAAAGAAAAATGACAGCCTCCAAGAAGAACACACCCTTGGGTGGATTATGAGCCCCATTCACAAATTTGGTATCCACCCAACGTTTGTCAATAGTATAATAATTTGTAGGGAAATTAATTCCACTGGCTGAAATGTGGGATTTATCTCGACTGAGTGGCACCTTGCCTTCTCAGGCCTTGTTTCTCTTGCCCTTTGATGCTTTGTGGGGGTTGCACAAATCAAAACCTGCTCTCCAAAATGGTTGGACAAGCATCAGTGCTGTCCGCCAACGAATTCCCCAGTAAAGTTCAAACCCAACTTGTTGTCTTGGACACCAAAAAGGGATCCACCCTTTGTCCTTTCGGTGGGGCTCAAAGTGGAACATAGGCAACCGTGTTTCAGGTGCTGACAGCAACGACCCGACCACCAGACAAAGCCAGAGCAGCCTACACTGGTTTGGATTGTTGGGCATGGGAAGCCGTTTGATTTTGTTTTGTCCAACTAGGAAGAGACCCCTGAATCCAAAACCACCGAGGGTACGTGGGGAGAAGCTGATTTGTTGAGTTAAAGCAACACTTGGTTTGGAAAGCAGGGTCCTGCCCTCAAATGTTGAGCCCTAAAGAATATAGCCGTTTCCATTCAGGTTTGGGCGGAGGCACCTGGCAGAAACGAATCATTCCCGGGTCAGAACCCCGCACGAAAAGGGAGCAGTTTCATGTCTGATGAAATCCAAAAATGGACGAAGTGAGTCGTCCTGGTGGGACATGAGCCAAGTTGACGATTTCGGCTTCCCGTCCTTCAACTGTCTTTGTGTTTTCGACTGACCAGCAGACCAGTTCATCACTTTGATCTGAACCGCCCAGTGTCTAGTCTTCTTCCTCCACCTGCGTCAGGATGCTCTCGGAGATTAAGATCGACGTCATGCGGCCGGACGATCCCTCTTGCCGGTCGTGGGCCCGAGTCGGTTCGGGTCAATGGGCGTTTCCAAAGCCAGACCCATGAAACTTTTGGCTTGTTGGCTTCGCTCGACCTTTATTTCCTTTTGTTTCGCAGCTTGAGTTGCCGAGGTTCCAGGCGCCTTTGCGCCCGCTTAATTTTTGCTCGTGGATTTTGAGGGCGGCCCCCAAAAAGCTTTGAGTTAAGGACAGCCCAGTTCCAGAACCCCTAGCCAGTGAGTCGCACAGCACAAGGGCCGAATTGGGAAACCAACAGGCGTTGTGGGCACCCCGCAGACGAGAAAAGCTGCCTGGCTGGATCAAATCAGGCGCAAGGCTGGCCCAAGTGGACGCCTGACGCCGGCTAACTCAAGACGGCAATGTGTTTGCAGAGGTCGAGTTGCGAATAGTTCCAGGGTTACCAAATCAATCCTGCCCAGCGGATTAGGGGCTTGCCGGTCCCATGATTTCATCTGTTTCTAAGGATCAACTGACTGCTGGGTTCCTTTGGCGAAGTCGGGGCGGTGAAGGTGCGTTTCCATGGAACCTGATTGCGCAAACGAACCATCCACGTCAGTACCATTGTTCGACACAGGCCGATCCTTTACCAACATCAGGGACCCTAAAAGCAGCATGAGAGCAACAGTCAATGATTGCTGGCATTTACGGTAGTCAAGGGAATTGCATAGGGCAAATACCATCTAGAAATGGCTGGCTTACTCACCAAGAGAAACATGGCAGTGGGTCAACATGAAAACCACCAGGGGATCGCAGGTTGTAGTCCAAGTTTCCATGTCATTTTGGGTTGACCCACAGCCACATGTCACTTGGAGGCACAATGAATATTACACTCCCTCAGACCAACATGGAAGCTCCCCCAATTGGCCTTTGTAAATGGAACCAAGTCCTTTCCAAAGGGGTGGGAGCTTCCACGTTCATCTGGGGGAGGGTAACCGTGACGAGTTGGATTCTGGGGTCGGGCGCCCAAAACGCCTTTTCATCTCCCAGGGTGATCCATGCGAGCCGCCCTCAGGCAGGGAAAGAGAGATTTGGGGGTCGCGCCAAAAGGGGCAAAAGGGGTTGCCTCTTTTTGATGGAGTTGGGTCTGTCTTTTTTTGAGGGAGGGGCCCCCCCAAAAAATGCTGGGTTCCTTTTGAGTTTCCCCTAAAGCCGCCAAACAAGGGGTCCCCTTCAAAGAAAGACACCCCCATTTTTCCAGAATGAGGGGGTTATGTCGGTCTCCCTTTCAAGAAACAGCCCAACCTTGGCTCGTGCCCTCCCACGCACCCGTGCCCTGGAAATTTCAATGCGTTTGGGTTTAAGTTTACGTCGGGGACCCCTGGGTGTCCCAAACTACGTCCCAAGGCGATTTGAAACCAAAGGCGCAAACAAATTCTCTGAACTGGGATAGCTCAAGGGAAACCACCGGCAAGCTCCGGGCCCCGTTGTTAGGGGAAAGTCCCCAATTTTCGCTCGGCGCCAAGACAGCTTTGTAGAAAGTCCCACCAAGTTTCGAGCGCTGTTTTTTTTAGGTGCCCAATTGTCTAGGCACCATTGAATCCTTTTCGTTGCCTCCTGAAACCCGCGCTACCGTTTGTTTCGAAGCACTACTCGATGGACTTGACGAGGCGTTGCAGCACCCAGCCACGAAGTCGGGCCAAACGGGAAAGCCTGCCTTCAGGCCCCGTTTCAGGTACCTGAAATTTCAAGCTACCCTTAAAGTGGGACATCGCCCAGAATTTTTGGGGGCAATAACCCATGTTTAAGGGTAATTAGTTTGAGGGTCCAGGCAGGCGCCGCGAGTCGCGGCTCACACGATGTCCTCGCCAGGATGTGGGGACCAAGCGGAAGGCGGAAGCTTCCCCTCCGGAGGCCCTGGGGATCACAGGAATCCTCGTGAATCCACAAGAGGGACCTTGGATGCAAAACCGGTTCTTTGCGTCTTCCTCAACCTCCAGCCCCCACTACAAATCCCCCCCTGCCGCAGCTGGTTCGGAAGAGTTTTGTGGACGGCCAGGCTTCCCAAGACAAACACCTCCTTTTGTCAGGGATCTTGGTGAATTTCTCAAACTCTTTTGCGACCTCAAAAAGCCTTGGCTCGGGTGCATTCGGGACGTTTTTTTCCCCATAATTTGGTCCCTGGGGATGGATTCCTCGAGTATTTTGTACTCAGATTGGCCCAAAATTCACCCAACTGGGCCTTTTGGTGTGCCATGTTTGGACCACATTTAGTATCATTTAGTCCAGGTTCCAAAAGGTTGAGCTTGTATTTCCAGTTTTTTCGGGGCACGCGAGGAATCAACCCCGGACCTGTGACAAATCTAGCGTGCAATCATCAAGTGCCCAAAAGGAAGACCACCTGTCGGGAGGGCACGTTTGACAGATCTTGTGGGGTAAATGCATATTCGCTATCTTGTACCAACCCAAGGAAATAAGGAGAATAACCGAGGGTTGTTGATCTATGGGTTGAACCCTGCTGGGAGCCGTTGATTGGCCTGCTTCAGTTTGGAACTCGGTTTAGGTCCTCATGACACCGATCTCTCCCTTGGGCAAAGCAGAGGAAGTGCAGAACAGGTTGCATCAAGAGCCCGCCCAGTCTGTGTGGGCTACGAAGGGCTGATTGAATTGCTTTCCCCAAAGCTGGCCTGTGAGGGTCCGCTGGTGCGCGATGTGTCAACCAGCGGGTTGCAAGTCAAAGAGGTAACTATGACGTGCTGGTCCTTTGTTTCCACTTGCCCATGCTTCTTCCCCGCAGTTTACATTTTGTTGAAGGGCCTTGGCGCTTAAGGGAATCCGAGGGGATGCTTGTCCCCTCCAAAAAATGTTGAATGACTTTGGCGCAGGGAATCCAAAGGAAATCACAAGTGGAGGGGACGGCAATCTTGAGAAATGCTCGCATCTTACTGCGCCCGATCCACGTGGAGTGCTTGCTGGGGACCAAGCCCTGAAGAATCTCCCAACATATCGCACCAGTCGTCGCATGGGACCAACAAAACGGGCACAACGAGTTCTATTACGCAACCCATCCTTGTGACAATGAATCGCCTTTAGTGATCCACTTGCATCGCTCTTTTAAGATGCATGCGTCGTGATTTCAAAGGTTCCGGATCCGATTCCAAGTCGAACACATTGGGCTTGATTGCACACGACACACAAAGCCAAGCATGAATAAGTAGATCACTAGGATATGTGCATAGCTAGGTCAACAAGTAGTCAGCCCACTCGAACAAATATTGAATAGTATCATAACATCCACAATAATCACTTTGATGCATTTTACTTGGATGTTAGGACTTCAACTTTTTGCCAACTAATGGGTTTTCGATTAAACCACTGAAAGTCAAGCTTTTAGCAGGGGAGCAGAAAGCAACCGAGATCAGTATTTACATAGACACGAATAAATCCCACGCACCTCAATGACCCGTTTTTTTTCCCCCCTTCCGCGGGAAGTGAGCAGCGCCTTGACGGCGCCATGGCCTGGCTACGCCTGGCTTGGGCCCAGGCACGGCGGGGGGGAGGCGGGAGGGGGCATGGTTTTTGGGAGCCGCGAGGGAAAATGGCTGTGGGTCAAGAATACTTCACTTTCAGGCAAGTCCAAAAAAGGGATGGCAAGGATCTATGGCGATCCAACCTGTTCCAACTTCAACTCTTGGTCTCCTCCATTTGGCTGTGGGTCAAAATTAAACCACCAGGGGACCGCAGAAATTAGTCCACGTTTCCTCATACCGACTGCAGGTTTGGCCCACCCCCTGGCCAAAATAAACAAGTGTTCCTTTACCAGACTTCCCGGCGATGCAGGAGAATCTTTGGGGCAGCTGGAAGTTGCCTGAAACAGCCTACAACTGCGCCACAAGATCCATTTACTTGAGTGTTGCAGGGCTGGCCATGAACCCCTTAGCAGGGTTGTTTTAGACAACTACGCATCGCACTGGCATATAGGTCCCCTTTATCCGCTTTACAAGAAAATTGCTTTTCTGGGGCTCGCATTCGACACTAGCACTGGGCAATGTAGGTTAGGAAGGATGATAATGTTGATATTCTTTTTGACCTGGACAATCGACACTTCCAGAAGGCATTAAGGAGTTACCTTATCGAGCATGCACTTGCAGCAGTTGAGAGGACACACACGGACGAATGGAAAGGGGCTGGGCACGTTGATGTGGAGATGACTTGTCGTGCTCTTTGGAAACTGCCGGCAGAATCGACCACGATCCAGGTGCTTAAGCGCGTTTTGACCAATTCTTTCTACACTCTTCACAATCGATACGCCGAGCAACACGCCACGCACGCCGACTGTGAGAATTGTGGCACTGAAATCTGGGACAATAGGCACATTATCTGGCAGTGTCCTATGTGGGCTCACGTCCGAAGTGAGTGGACCGCCCCTTGGGATCAATGGCAAACTTGGCCTGATTGCGCGACTCATTTGATGATATGCACCCAGGAGATGCCGGGTGTTGTTAAGCGCAGTTGGCAACAATTTCAGTTGGACGTTGCAAAGTTGACGCTTTCAATTGCCATACATGATAGGCCGCAACAGCAGCGACATGAGTTGATCAACCTCCCTTGGCCATCCGGGACAATTGCCTGGTTTTTCATTTTTTAGATTGGACAGTTTCTTCCCTGTTTTGCATTCCCCTTTCGTGAAACAGAAATAGAATGACTGGATGAAATGGGAAGGAACTTTAGCATTCGCCCCCTTGGATTGAAGGAGAAGCTTTCTGCTCCCGGTAGAGAGACAGCCTTACCGGAATACGGGGAGGGCCAAAGAAAAGGGTCGTAAGTCGGGTGGCATATCTGCGTTCCGAGAGAAGTCCTTAGTTTTATGTTTGCAGGAAGCCCATGCATGATTGTTTGTTTGCAGTCATTATTTTGTTTTCTTGCTCGCCTGTTGTTGTTCCCTTTCTGGTCTGTTTCCCTTGCGCTGTCTTGCTGTGTTTGTTTAAATATGTGTGCGAGGTTGTTTGTTTGGCTAGGTTTGTTTTCTTTGGTTGATGCTGTTTGGCTCGGCTTCCGTTTGGCTCGGTTGGCTGGGTCCCGCGGAAGCCTCCTCCGTCGGAGGCCTGGCTCCTGCCGTGCGCCGCAGAGACCTGCCAGACAGGCGAGGAAATGGGCGCTCGTCAAAAAGATGGCGCTCAATCAGCCACTAAGAAAAAGAATCAACAACAGAACTAAGCAAAATAATCAACTACTCAACTTGGGATCACTTGCAGTTTTTTTTTCCCACTGTGATACAAGGGAATCTCTCCCCCCTTATGAAAAAAGGTGAGTCTTTGGGAAGCCCTTTTTGTTGCATCGTTGGTCCCCACACCCCTGGTAACCCCTCACCAAAAGAACACAAGATTTGGTCGGCTTGGTTTCAGTTCAAACACTCCCAAAGGGTGGTCCACCTCCAAAAAGACAGGATCGTGAAAAGATATCCGGTTCATGGTCCGTGAACTCCATGTTGGATGTCCATACAATGCCTTTCTTTTTCCATGATTGACCAGAGGGTGGTCTATGGTTCAGGTGGGGCTTCGGGACATAGGGGGCTTGGTGGATCTCAATGTTTAAGCTTCCAAGCGATCGACCTGCCAAGGGACTTTGGTGTGTGACAGATTTCGCCCACGGTCAATTATTGAAGTTTGGTAACCCTTCTGACCAAGTCTCACACGCTCCCACAAGTGATTCGGATCCCGAATGAAATTGGAAGCACCCATCAAATCGATCGGGGGTTGATTCAGATGTTGTTTACTCGTTACCGTGACAATTGTCCTTAACGACCAAGATGAGACAGTGTTTGCCTTCCTAAATTTCTAGGTGGTGGCGCACATAGCCTTGCAAGACAAAAAGGGGTGCCCGCTAACAAAAGGTATTATGGAACCCCCGCAGATTTCTGCTTTATGCAAACCTGTCAATCAAAAATGGGCTTCTTTTGTACTTTTCAGGCTTATTTGCAGTAGGGCCCCAAAATGCCGACACATACTAAAGAATCTCAACAAATGCTCACTCCCAACAACCAAGAACTGGCAAATACCGAGATACCAAGAAAGACATCAAAGATACAACGCACACAACTGGAAAGCCTTCATTCTGTTCATTTGACAAATATGGCCGTGGGTCAAAACCAATGGTACCATTTTGGGGTAGGTGCACCACCCATTTTAGTCTATCTTAGTGGGGATTGGGATGTTGACCCATGGCCATATATCTCAGGACCCGGCACTTGGAGCTGGTGAAAAAATGGACGATTCGAACCGGGAGATGCATGAGAAGCTCGACATGCAAAAAGAAAAACCATGCCGGGTGTGGGCACCCAAATTTGGGTTGCCCTGCTTAAATGGAAACAATAACTAAAACCTGCGGTCCATATTCTAGCGGTTTAATTTTTACCCAGACCCACATACTGAGATTGGAAGAGCCTTAGGCAAGGCGGACCTTCGTAGATGGCAATTTCTCGTCTCAGTTTCTGAAAGCCTTGCTCAGTGGAGCCGAGTGCGTTGCTTCATGGAGAGAGATGTGTTTTGGTTTGCACAGCGATGCTCTTTACACTTCTTGCCCACCTTGCTCGAACCTCTTCAGAACCTCTCAAGAGGATGATCGTTCTGCGAGAGCAGCTTCAAACATGTGTCAGAGGTCTGCATGTGTGTCCAAAAGCAAACATGGGGGTACCATCAATATGCGTCAACAATGCATCTATAGTTTCTTAGTACCCATACTATGTATTGTTCCATCAATCTATCTACTTCTATTATCACAATGTCATCGTATGTTGCCTTGTCTTATCGTGTCTTATCTTCTCTTATCTTATCGTATCTGATAATATGTTACGTGTTCTGTGTTGTCCCAGCTCATCGTGCCTGTCATAGCCAACAAGAATAGCATATAGTTGTTATCTTATGATATTATCTTACCTCAGCAACTATCTATCCGATCTATATGTGTTATCTTTATATGTGTATATTTGTTTGTCTGTCTGTCGTCTGTCTGTCAATCTGATACAATCCATCATAATCTAGACTGTCTTACCTTATGGTATCTGGTCTTGTCTTGTCTTGTCTTATCCTAGCTTGTCTTATCTTATCTATAGGTCTATCTATATGTGCATCTATCTATACATGTATCCTTCTATTAATCTATTCATCTTCCATCTATCCAGCTATCTAATATATCTATTCTGTCTGTTTGTCTGTCTGCCTGCTTTTCTGCCTATGTGTCTATCTGTTCCTTGTCTATCTGTCGATCCATCGACCCATCTACCCACCATTTGTCGATCTGATCGTATCTAATATATGTGTCTTATCTTATCAAATCTTATCATTCCCTGACATAGCGTATCTATCTCTCTTCTCTTGTCTTGTCTTCTCATGTCTTATGATAATTTTATCCACTAGTCTATTCTAATCCAATCTAACCCATCTACCTTTCTAGCTATCCCAACTCAAACTATCTAATCTATCTAATCAATCTATCCAGTCTATCTAATCTATCTCGTCGATCTAGTATGTCGAATCTACCTAATCCATTATTTTTCATCTAGTATGTCGAATCTATCTAGTCTATTATTTTTCATCTAGTATGTCGAATCTATCTAATCTATGTAATTTATTTGATCTGCCTATCCTATCTAATGGATCTAATCTAGCTAATCTATCTAGTCTATTTAGTCTGACTAGTCGATCTCATCGATGCAATCTGTCTAATCTATCTAAGGGGTATTATCTAGTCTATCTATTCTAGCGAATCGACATCATCAATCTAACCTGCTTAATCTATCTAGTCGGTTTTATCTATCTAATCGATCTACTCCTAGTCTATCTAATCCAGCTAATCGATCCAATCTATCTAATTCGTCTCACCTATCTAAACTATCTTATCGATCGACGTGATATGTCTAATCTATCTGATATCTGATATGCCTAATCTGTCTTTCTGTCCCTCTATCTATCTATCTATCTATCTATCTATCCATCTGCCTGTCTGTCTACTTGTCAATCTGTCTATCTGTCTATGTATCTATCTATCTATCTTTCTGTCTCTCTGTCAGTCTAGCTATCTATCTATCTGTCTCTCTGTCAGTCTAGCTATCTATCTAATCTAATCTAATTTAATCTATTCTAATCTATCTATCTATCTATCTATCTATCTATCTATCAATCTAATCTAATCTAATTTAATCTATTCTAATCTATCTATCTATCTATCTATCTATCAATCTAATCTAATCTATTCTAATCCAATCTATCTAATCTATCTATCTATTCTATCTATCTATCTATCTATCCATCTATCTATCTATCTATCTATCTATCTATCTATCTATCTATCTATCTATCTATCTATCTAATCTATCTTTCTATCTCATCTAATCTACTCTAATCTAATCTAATCTAATCTAATCTAATCTAATCTATCTATCTATCTATCTATCCATCTATCTCTCTCATCTATCTATCTATCTATCTATCTATCTATCTATCTATCTATCTATCTATCTATCTATCTATCTATCTATCTATCTATCTATCTATCTATCTATCTCTCTATCTCCCTATCCTATCTGTCTGCCTGGCTGTCTGCCTGCCTGCCTGTCTGTCTGCCTGCCTATCTGCCTGCCTGCCTGCCTGTCTGTCTGTCTGTCTGTCTGTCTGTCTGTCTGTCTGTCTGTCTGTCTATCAGTTTTTCGTTCTATCGGTATTCCTATCGTATCCTGTACACCTATCTTTCTAAACTGTGTGTGTGCCTACGTCTTACCATCCATTCACTTTTGACTTTGCAGACATACCCTCACACTTTTCCATGTTTATATAAGTCATGTTCACAAGATAACCATCCATGTGTAATATACGCTCGTGAATAATAAGGGCATGAACTTATTTATAACACACATATATATATATATACATGGGCCCTTGTCAAAATGTATAATATAAGGGTTTATTATATTTTGTGTTGGGCCCTTGTTATACTACCAGACCACGCATTTTTTTCTGTGAACAGATTCGACTGGCTCCCTGCGGCAGGCTCCCGGCCTTCGCCTGCCAGCTTGGTGCCGCATGCCGCCGGGCTCCCGGTACCCGGCCCCATGTTGGTGGCGTGTTGGGCATCTTGTTATGGTTTTGTGTGTTTTTTGTTGGCTTTGTTATGGTTTTGTTATGGTTTTGTTATGGTTTTGTTATGGTTTTGTGCAACAGTTTTGGTTTTGTTATGGTTTTGTGATGGGTTTGTGCGAAAGTTTTGGCGGTTTGTCTTGTTTTGTGTGGGTTTTGTATGCGTGTCTTGTTTTCCGGTGGTTTTCTTCGCCGAGCTTGGAATGTGTGGACTGGTCAGGTTTTGCGGCACTTGGCGGCGGCGGCATTGAAGTCCGCTTTGGGGATGTTTCAAAGGCGTCCTTGTCGCTTCTGCTTCACGCAACCATGAGGATGTTTCTGAGACTTGAGCTTGAGGCGGTGCATTAAAACTGGGCGGGCCTGTCAAGTGAATCAGAGGCTCTCAGAACTGAGAACTCTTCAAAAGGGGGGCCCCGTGAACGCCTTTGCTTTTGGCCCACTGGGTCCATCAAGAGCTTCAGGGTGATTTGATCGTCTGCATTTGCGGGTCAATGAATCCAGGCAAGACACCCGGTCTTCGGTGCATCAGAAATTTTGCCCAGAACCCAAAGGGATTGGAGCCCTGGACTGGGTCAAACCCCGTCTGTTGCTACCAGGTTACCTCAGGGTCACACCGTTGTTTTTTTTCTCTTCGAGGCTCCGAACGAGGGCGGCTCCGTGTTGCTGCACTACGAGGCCAATTGGGGTTTGGAGGAGGTTGGGCGTTTTCCCATTTGCCCTCTACAACGCGCAGTTCAAATACCCAAGCCGCCAATCCAAACCACCAATTGAGGTGATTCAAGCCCAGGAGAGTGAGGCTGAGTGCCAAGTCTCATGGAGAACGACCTTAAATGCCTCTTTTCGCAGTGGCTTCCCTGTACAAAGGGGATTTCCACAAAAAAGACACCCCCCAGTTTTGCATTGCTTCTACAAGAGGATCCAGGACGATCCCTAATTTCCTTTAATCCGCAGTCGGTTTTTTGACCACCCTTAGGGGTACTGTCCTCGATTGTCAACAAGGATTGAGTTTTGCAGCCATCGTCGCAGATTTGGTTGTTTTTCAAACGCAGTTGGACTGCTCCAGTCTGCAACATGTGGCAACGGCTTCCTTTCTGTTTCATTTTGTTTCCTTCAGGATTCTTTCTCTTGGGTTTTCTTGGGTATCTATTGGGTTCTCTTCGGATTTCCAGCGCTCAGAGACCCTCCGGGACCCAGCTCCGGTGCAAGCGGTAGGTGTGGAACGCCAGCAGCGTGTCCGTGGAGAAGGAGGAGCGAATAGTGAGGTTTGGATCTGCATCAAGATCTCTCTTGAAATGGGTTTTGGGCGCGTCATGTTTGTTTTTTGTGGCACCCGGAAAAAAAAGCGCGACGGTTTTGGCTGTTCGTGTCCTTTAAAACCAGGAACAAGGGAATTGCCCTCAAGCAAGCACACGCCTTATGCATTTTTTAGGTTTGCTGAATATGGAACTGAGGCAAACAGCCGTTTTTTTGGTCGGTTCCAAACTTTGTGGCCGATGGTTGTATGATACAGTTGTATGACATCGTCACCATTTTAAGGGACCATATTGAGCTTTGCAATAGCACCTCATTGGAGGCCGGCACCTCATTCCCATCGTCTCTTGACGAACGAATCTGCAGAGGCCTCCCCCTTGGGGTGCCTGAGGTGTACCCGGGTGTCGACCTTGAATAATCATGATCATGGTTACTAACGCGAAGGACAAAAAGCCCAGCTACAAGAAGGTGCCGTATGTGTGGCATGGCCAGCCGACCATCAAGTCCCGACCTCACAGGGCGAGATGGGGCAGATTCATTCTTGATTTTCTCTCTGTCCGAGGGCTTCAGTTGATCAAGCTGCTCCGGAAGGATGGCATCTTGCAAGAATGGAAGGGCAAGACATGCCCCAGGTGTGGCCGTGGCACGCTGGGGAAGCTGGAGTACCGGAAGGATCGATCTCAGTGGATCCATCGTTGCTCTGCCAAGAAATGCCAAGCCCGAATTCGCGCGGAGGACTTCCACCCCATCTTCTGCGAAGGGTCCGGCTCATCCACTACTCCACTCGGCACTCAGGCTGCGACCCTCTTCTGCGCGACTACGGGTGTGCAAAGAGATGCCGCACACCTTCTCCTGGATGTCGACCACAAGATCGTAGAGAGGATCTACGCCAACTTGGATGTGGCGAGGTCGCGCCACGTCGTGAAGAAGAGCATTGCCTACAGAGGAACCACGCGATGGATGGACGTGGAGGCGGACGAGGTGGACCTGGGCAAGGGTGAGATGAAGACTCCCAAGAACCGGACCTATGTGTTGAAGTGGGAGCAGTGGGCGGGCATTGTCGAGCGTGGTCGGCGACAGTCCTTGCGCCTCTTCAGACTCAACCCAGCTATCACGCGCAGGCGTGCCCCTGGACCCGGGCCAATCCGCAAGCGAGACTGGATGCCCATTGGGAAGAAGATCCTCGCCAACAGGAAGGTGGTGCTGCACACCGACGGGGCCCGTGCCTACAAATTGAAGCTGCCTGAGGTGATGCGCTGCAATGTAGTGCACAAGAAGAAGAAGATCTACGTGAACAACAAGGCAACCTGGGTCAAGCCGCGCTACACGAAGATCTACAAGTTGAAAATGTGTCACGGGAAGCAGCTCACCGTGAAGTCGGGTACCCAGATCATTGACCGGTTCTGGGGGTTTCTCAGGCAACGCATCAAGCATGTGAATCGGACTCCTGGCTCTCCGGCGCTGACACGCCACATCCGGTCAGCCCAGTGGTGCTATTGGCACAAAGGCGAAAACCAGGATGCTCCAGGACCTGAACAATGATGCCTGAGACGCTTGGACATAGCGTAGATGTGTCTGTCCAGTTTTGATCACAATCCATGGCCATCCTGGCACCAAAAAGAACTGCAATCTGGCTGCTTATCTTCTGACTGCCACAAATCCCTCAACAAAAGGAAGAACAATAGAAACTCTATACCAAATCCTAGGAGTCTGATCCAAACATGAAAAACGTCATTGTTTCAATGTTTTTCCCTAGTGTGCTCAAAACCACTGACCAGACTTGAATCCGAAAACGGAATCCGTTTTCGCTTTACTGCCTTTCAAGCCTCAAAGAATCAGACATCTACTGTCATATAGAAGGTAAAAAAGCAACGAAACACTGTATTTTACGGTGTTTTCAGGCATCTGCAAGAAAGAGGCACACAGAAACAAGTTGACACCTTCAACTAGAAGAGGGCAAAGGTAGGCCCTGGGGGGGGGGTATATATATGCAGAAATATATACATATCATGTCCTTTTACTCAAAGAAGGTTTACAAGGAACTTCCGTGGTACTGGCGGTTTTTCCCCTGGGCCCATGGTTTTGGCACCGGCTGGGCGGTAGGTAGAGCGGGTGGTCAGATTTGGATGCCGGCCACAGGAGGGCGCGGTATCTCTGCGCTTCCCCGGGGATGGCGCGGGCTTGCTGCAGGCCGAATCGAGGTCTCCAAAGCCATCGGAGAGTTTGTTTGGAGCTTACGAAGCGGGAGTGCAAAACACAGATGCGGCCAAAATGCAAATGGTTGGTCTTCTCCTAGTATTGCCTCATGGCCCGTTTTGGAAGTTTACAGATGCTGGCGAAAGTCTTGATTACTTAGCATGTTGAACTTTCTATTCCTAGGGTGGTTCCAGTATACATGTTGAGGATATGTGCCAAGCGCATCCTTCGACTTGTGCCAAGCATGTTTCCAGCATGACTTCTAACACATTACTTGAATCTATGCATATCTGAAGTATACCTGAAGTATACGTTAAAGACTTCCGGCTATCGCCAAGATTGCAGGCCTGCTTTCGTGTGATACGTGTCCCCTGTTTTCCAACAAATCTCCAATGCTTCCTCTTGGTCTCTCCTGCTTTTTCCATAGACTCCTAGGTTGAGGGGTGAGTGACCCAGACTTAAACATCCCGTCGGAGACAAAAAACATTGGTGAAATTGTTGAGGCTCAAGCAATGTTCAAACCCCAAATACGAGGCGTTTCCTGAAATGCACCCCCCCCCTGGTGAAAGGTAAAAACAAAGGTTACTACTGCCATGGGCTCCGTTTGAACTCATTCAGGTAGAAGCTATTGGCACCCAACTCCCAAATGCCCTTGCTTTCAGGGAATCGATTTTCAATCACCGGGGTGTTCAAGGTAAACACACAGATTCTGGGGTGGCCCATTTGGAGACAAGGCGAACTGGCAAATGCAGGGAACCCAGAAGTACAACAACGGTTTTGGTGCGAATCTCCGGCCAAAACCATAAGTCTTGGTGGATTTGGGTGACTAGGTCCTTTAGTAGTGCCCTTCTCTCCCCTTTTTTGGGGGGAGGGTTTCACTACTAAAATCGACAAAACAGAAAAACAAAGCTCAGGTACCCTTCTTCTAAGCTCTCTAATCTGGAGGAAAATCCTACGTGAGCTTCAAGGGGCTCAAAAGTTGGTAGGTGATAGGCAAGGTCTCCCACCTGCAGGTGGGCCGCAGCTTTTCGGATATGGACGAGCCAGGAGTCCCAGCGAGCGTTTGAGGGACCAAGGGATTCAGCAAAAAATCCGATGAGCCAGGGGTTCAACCTGCTGAGCAAATGCGTTACTGAAGCATTTATGAAGCCATGGGTTAGATCCCATGGATCTTGAGGAACTGCTTTGGCTTGTAGGTGCGACAGGTGGGGAATGAGAGAATTAATATGGGGATTCCCTGAAAGGACACCATGAGATGGATGGTTTCTCTCGGGGTCATTCCATTTCTCAGTCCCTGCTGAGCACCAGCCAGTTTAGCTTGTGGAAAAAGCATGTTGGAAAGAGGTTTTTCTCAATGACCCATGAAATAAGGAGGTCCACATCGAGGCCACAAGCGTCAAAGCGGTTTTGGGGTTCTGAGGGAAGTCCGACACGATCTCGCGAATCCGTGTGGTGTGTTGTTGAGTCCCGGGCGTGGGTTTCCCTTCCCAGTCAACGGCCGCCTATTCCAAATCCAACCACTAAAATAGGTTCTAAAATGGGTGGTGAATTCACCTACCAACCAAAATGGTACCATTGGCTTTGACCACAGCCATCTGACACCTTGCAATGCCTTGTGTTTGAACATGTGCCGTTGAGAACCAGGGTAGCTGCTTCCTTTGGTTTGACTTTACTGGCCAAGTTTCTACCCTTCTGATCTTAAGAGCAACTCTTATCAACCAGGGGTGTATTAGAAAGCTTGGTTTCCCTTATCCCGTGGGGTAGTGGCTCAGCTTGCCCCCAATGAGCGATTTGTGTTTTGGTCGGATTTTGGTTTGGAGGTGCGGGGTACTTGGTACCTTCCCACTGGCGAAGTCTTCCTTCGGTGAGTGAAGCACGAGCTTCAAATCCCATCAATGCAAACCAAAGGCGAGGTGGTAGGTCCTGCCCCCCCAGTTTTGCGAGGTACGTGCTGCGCCGGGTGCGTGTGACTGCGCCCAGCGAGCCCGCGCCCGAGCTTGGGCGATCGGGTTAAAGAAGCTTCCTGGTTCGATAGGCGCATGGAATGACCCCAAAACTGAACCATCCAACCTGTGGTAGGGAATCCCTTCCGGGTCATACTGAGCACCAGCAAGAAAATGGGGTTACCCAACATGGGATGCCCTGGGAAATGGAAACAAGGACTAACACCTGCGGTGCATATCCTGGTGGTGCAATTTTGACCCATACCCGGTTCAAACCAGTTGGTTTCGCTGTAAGCGAATCCCGAGAAGGGTGCCCTCAAAACGTCACATTTTTGGTACCCACCAGGTCTTAGTTGGTTTATTTTTCCAACAAGGAAGCAGTAGCTGAAACCAGGGTTGCAAGTTGTTTAGCTACATAGACTTTCACCCACAAGGAAAAGTTGGACAGCTGGGTTTCAGTTTACCTTGGTAACCCCGGTGAAGACTCTATGTGGCACGTGTGGCTCCCCTTCAATCCTTCGGGTTCTGCAAATCCCCCAAGGCCGGATGATCGTCAGTGAGTCATGGCATGCCGATTGGTTGAGAGATCCTGACCGGCACCAGAATCGCGGTACGGATTTGGCCCATCGAAACCAGGGGAACTGGGCAAGAATTCCGGGACCTAAGTGCTTGGAAGCAATCAGCGGGTGAAAGCAAACCCTGCGCGGCAAACACCCCCATGGAGGCGAGAGAATCGGGGCCAGCGCGAGGCATATGCTGCTGAATCGCCGGCTGCCCCTAGAGGCGGCCGAATCAGAAGGTTTGGCATTTGGGCCGGTGGTTAAAAAACAAGTCCCGGACCCCAACTCCACATAGAAGCTCCCGTATTTGTTTGAGTATATAAAACCAGGTCTTCCAAGAAGAATGCATGTTTTTGAGTCAGGGGTTGATTTCGTGTATACAAGCACTGGATACGGGGCAGTGATTTCATCGGCGCTGGAGATAGCTCGGGGTCCATGCAGACTGGTCCTGACAAGTGAAGCTCAGTTGGGTGTTTCTGACAAATAGGGGACCTTATTTTGGATGATTTCTCGAGGGATAGTAGAAAGGAATCAAACAGTTGTGGGCGGGTAATACATTTTTTTGGACACAGCTGAGGAACCAGGGGCAACTATCATTGTCAGGCATTGGCGCAAGGCAAACAGCAAAAGGGATGACCACTCTTTTTTGAGGATTCACACTGCTCAAACTGGTCGCTCCTTTTCCTTTCTCTTCAAGCTTCGTCCGAAGGGGGTGGCGGTGGGGGCGGGGGAAAAAGAGCGTAGGTCAGACGGACAACATCTAATTTGGCTTTGTGGCCTGAGAAGCTTCACCTATGTGAGAACAATGGACGCTCCGCGCAGGTAATACATTTTTCTGACCCACATTGAGAGGCCAGTGGCAGAACATGCAGGATTGCTCCACAGTGGAACCACAAAAGATGCTTACCAAGCAACCTGCCCCCTTTCCAAGTCCAATGGGTCTTTCCAACAAATCGTCTCGGAGAAGCCCGGGTCGGCTGGTTTTCCTTCATTGAGCTGCACAAGTACTGGGTATTGAAGCCAAAAAACTAGAGGTTCGTACTCGTGGTTCATTTAGGTACATGTGCTTTGTTCACGGTACCCGTTTCGGCGTGGGTTAAAGGCACACCAACAGAAACGCCGCAATGTTGTTGGGCTCCGAATCTCACATTTTGATTTTTACGCATTTGTTTAATTTTGGTTAGAAGCCACAAACGAGGGGTTTACCAAAGGTTCAATGAAGCCAATCAACTCATACTTTGCCGCGCAGCCATTCATGGCTTGGGCGGGTCATTGTTCTCAACGCCATTTGGTTGCGTGTTTTTTTGTTTAGAAGACCCCCCCCCAAATGCAGTGGATTTTTTGCGTGGTTTCCTCCTCTCTTTTTTTAGAAGACACCCCCCCAACTGGAGTGGAAATGTTTTTTGGTTTGCCTGGGAACCACGACAAGCCGGGTGCTCAAAAAGCAGTCGACACCCGGCCGCGTAGGTGCAGCTCTGGCACGAGCCGGCGATCCAGCGGGACATCAGCAGGCTTCAGGCTGAGAAGTTGGAGGCGCGCGGAGCCGAAAGTTGGCCCAGTCATCCAGAGACCTCTGGTCTAGGAAAGGGCGGTATGCGAATCTTACAGATATATACATATATACATACATATATATGTATATATATATATCTACATACATATATATACATACATACATATATATATATATATATATACATATATATATATATATATACATATACACATGTATGTATGTTATAGTTGGGTGGGACCCCCCGTACTCAAGATACCGTATGTTGGTTGGCTTATCATCCTAAAAGCTGTTTTGCCATTTTTTCCCGTGGCGAACAACTCCTGCTTGCGCCAGCGGACACTATGCCGTGGTTCTGGCACCATTCTGCGCGATACCAAGGGACCAAGGGAATGCCCGGAGAACTGTGAGGCAGTCATGTCCCATGGTCTCATTTCCAGTGGCATCCCTCAATTCCAGTTGATGAAATAGAGTCATTTGTGACAAATTGCAAGTCATTGCGAATATGTATTCTACCGTTTGAATCAGTTTCCCATCATTCCAGTTCTATGTCAATCTGATCAATGGAGATTTGTCCGGTCGTTTCGTGGATCGAAGCTCTGCGTCTTATGCCGTCTCTACGATTTTTTCCCAGCTCTTCCGGCCTGACGCGGAGCGGGGAAGCTGACCACATACATTTCGGCCCCCCTGATACCATTTTCATCGTGCATCTTGTTCCTAAGGTCACATCATATGGGTGCGTCTTTTTTTGAGGGCACCCCAAACATGGCGTCGGTTTTTCTTTTGGGGCTCCCCTTAAAGCCAACCAAAAAGGGGCGTCCCTAAAGACGAGCCACTGCCAGTTCCACCCAGAAGGGGGCCTCTTGACTTCCGGTTCCTCTCCGCCAGGCGCAACAAATGCTTCGGAGGCAGGTGTTGAGATCGGGCAGTTTGTTTCGCGATGAGTTGAAGCTAAGTCGGGTTGTGGGATCCCTCGGGGTGTAAGGGAAGCCACCCATCCATCATTTCCCCATGGCCACAGCACTGTTTGGAGAGTTGTCAAATTGACCGCTGAGAAGCATCCAGCCACTTCCGTGACACAAGGGAATCCCTCTTATGGGGGGCTGATTTGTTTTTTCCACAGCCCTGCACTGCGACATCCCGGCTTTGATCTTCCAGCACCCGGAAAGATCGGGTTTACGGGCCTGCACCCTTGGTTTTGGGGTCTGTGTAACGCCGGGGTGTAGCTCGGGTTTGGTGGGGCTGGGGCTATCACTTGAAGCGATGATATGTAAGATCACAGGCCTGGTTTTGCTTCTTCAGAGATGCGGCCATGTTTCGCATCATGCAACCCCAACGAAAAGGGCCGCTTGAGAGTTGCCCACCAGAACGGTTGCCCCTTGCTTTGCCGTTTTTTTGTGAACCAAACACCACCTAGGTCCCCCAGTAGTGCCCTTTTATCGTTTCTTTTTTGGGTGGGAGGGTTCCCCTACAAAAATAAACAGAAAAAACATCGGGTACCAACTTCTTCTAACCTCTCAAATCTGGAGGACCTAGCCACCAAAGACGTCAACCTCCAGTTTGCGAGACCCATGGCGCCAGGTTTCAAAGACAAACCCTGGAGTGGCAGATTGAGCTCAAGCAGCTCGAGGCGCTCTCTCCTTGGCGATATTGGCGGGATCAGAGCCTCTGGGTGGGGAGAAAAACAGTAAGCGACAGCTGGGTCTTTTTGGGGTGAGGTGCAAAGCAACAGGAGGTGAAACAACAAGGACGGGGTTTGTTTTTGTCTCCACATGCTTGGTTTGAACCGTAGCTGTTGCAACTTGTTCTGATTCGCACTCTGTTGGACCTGTTATTGGCAAACACACAACTTTCATGCTTCCAGGCTTGGAGGTTTCAACGACAGGTTTGCGCTTGCGGGCTTGGGTGGGAAGGACACGCAGGTTTAAGGCAGTTGTGATCCAATGCAGTCGGACGCTAGACCAAACATCACACGCCTAAACTAACCCTAAACCCACCCAAAAAAAACCTCAAACCAGCCCGAAACCAACCTTAAACGGACCCTCTAATCCTAGACCAAGCCTAAACGCAGCCTAAACCAACACCAAACCAACCCTAAACCCACTACACACACCCTAAACCTACACCAGCCCGAAACCAAACCTAAACCGATTCTGAACCATCCTGAACCGACCCCCTAAGCCAACCTTAAACCAACCCTAAACCAGCGTAAACCGACTCTGAACCGCCCGAAACCAATCCTAAGCCGACACTAAACACCGTAAGCCAACCTTAAACGGGCCCAGTTGCTGGCGGAGTGATGGAAACGTGGCCTCTGACTTTTTCCCTGGCATGGAGAAAGAACAAATGCAAATCCCATTGATTGCAACAAAGGTTGGAATAAATGCGCTCACGTAGTTTTTTTTTTTTTTTTTTTCGGGGAGTCCGAGTCCATGCTGACCGTTTGCACGAGGGTACCCTTCAAACAAATATCAGCCAATCGGGCGTGTCAAAATCAGGAATCGACCGCTCCAAGTGGTTTTCACCTTGGTTTCCTGAACCATCACCAAAATGGGTCCCTTGTTGACATGAGCACATGTTGCCATCAGCTACCGAGTGGTAGGTTGAAGGGCATTGACCAACCACTGACTTTGATCACAGAAGCGCAGAAGCGCCAAGCCAAAGCAAGTGACAGGTTATCAGCCCCCAAAGGACTTCAACGGACCATCTCACAATTCAACAAGGTCTGTGCACAGAAGCCGTTTGAAACATGAACTCCGTGTGAAGCTATGAAGCTATGAAGCTGTTGCGAGTTCCCTTTCGCGTTGAGGGAGTCTCCAGTTTCGCTTTCCTTGGATGTTACAACTCGGAAGGTTTTGAGTATTGAGATGCTTAATAGAATGTGGTACCCTAAGGGCCATCATTGTTCGTAAGTTCTCAACAGCAATGTGCACCCTTAGGGAATTCGGGTTTTC